AAAAAAAAAAAAAAAAAAAAAGCAAAGAAAATCTATCTTTTGATATTTGTTTGACTTTGTTTTACATGAAAATTGTCAATTAAAGGAAAATATTTTTTTACAATTAGGGATGGAATTTGTTTCCATTGCCAAAAGAAATTTAAAAAAAAAAAAAGTAACAACACCCTTCAATCAAAATCAAGAAATTCCAACTTCCAAAAAAACCAAATTCCATAGAAAAATATGCTATCGAACAATCAAAAAGTGAATATTGAAATTTGAATTCCATTTTCTATAAAAAAAAAATAAAAATATAGTGCTATTGAACATGGCCTAATAGACTCGAAGTTAGTATGCTATCCCATTCAACAAAAGAAAATGACAAGGTTTGAAAGCCAAAATAATTGAAATTTGCATATCCAGTTGTCGTTTCACTATTCCCCCAACTGCTTGATAAACAACTCTCTACGTCCATACACGAATTTTCACGCAGGAGGTCCACTTGTTTGACTATTCCCACAAATGCTTGATAATCAACCCTTTAGGTTCACGGTAGAGGACTTCAAACATCCTTGATAAACGTTTCTTAGGGCCTGTTTGGGATAGCTTTTGAAAAGTCAAAAGGAGCTTTTGAGAGCCAAAAGTCGCTTTTGGATCGTTTGGCTATTTTTGTTTAAAGTACTTTTAGAGGTTAGAAGAGCTTTTAGAGGAAGCTGGTTTTTTTGACTTCCTCCAAAAGCACTTCCGGAATGGGTAGTGATTTTAAATATTAATTTTCAAACAAAAATTAAAATAGCTTTCTCCAAAATCTCTTCTACAAGAAGCAAAAGTCAAAGTAAAAGTCGTGTCAAACGGGCCCTTAGTTCCAAACAAATAGTAACTTTCTTTTACTTGAAAATAGAATTGAAGTAAATTATTTAAACACTTTTGGGCATTAAACGTTCTTAAAAGTAACTTTACTCCTCAAAGGATTAGCAAACTTGTTCAAAAGGCGCGAAAAATTCAGTAATGTTTTGCTCACCAGCACTCGCAACTTTTAGTTTGACCAAATACAGTAGTGTTAGATTGTGTTAAATTGTCAAATGAACGAAAATGAATGATATGATGTTTGTTTTATACAATAAGGTAATAAGACAGTAAGACATCATTTTCCCTTCAAATATTTGTTAAAATACATTTTATTGACAACATTGTAAAAATATAATAGACAACATTTCAATTAACTTTATTTTTAATATTATCTAATATGTTCGTTCTTGTCCACCTTATTAAACAAGCAATATAGGCGTATAATATAGAGTAACTTATTTTTTCTTCTTTGGTCCTATCCAAACCGTATTGGCTAAGCATAAAGAACGTTCAACGATGACAGAGGAAATTCAATAAGCAATACTCAAGAAATACAATTACACTTTTATTCTTTCTGCAGAATTAGCAAAAAATTCTGGACAATTGGCTGTGGCTTATGATATATTTTCAGCTTGTTCTTGAATGCACGGGCAGTTTCTCTCTCCATGTACCATTTTTGAAAGAACGAGGCTGAAAATGTATCAGATATATCTAGAAATACAAAGTGAAAATGAGAACAGATATTGAGATTTTGAAGGGTATGAGAATTGTTGCAGATGAAATCATCCTTGCAATCTCCCTATTTCTTCTTCTTTCTTCCATTGGTGAAGCTGTTAAAGCACTGTTTGGTTTTTTCATCCTGCATTGCAAATTAGCATTAGCCCCATGATCGAAAGGAAAGGAACCCAATCATTGTGTTAAATTGTCCTTTCAACTGCGAATCAACCTTCATAGGAAGGTTGAGGAGGGTCATACAAATATATGCGTGCCTTGTGTTTCTAGTTTTATTTTGCTTATTATTAATTTCTTAACTAGGATTCAGGTTTAATCCTTGACAAACACAAATGCAGAAACAAGAAAAGAATTTGGGATGTGATTACCCGCTGTCGGGACAAAATATGATGTCGTATTCGTTAGCCTTGCAAGTGAAAGTGCTGGTTCCATCATCAAATGCGTAGCTATAAGCTCTTGGACATGCTCTCTTGAAGATAGTTGAGTAGAATGACGGCCGGCAAGTCGAAGGATTCGCAAATTCTCCACTGCAGCAATACTGGTCTTGTCCAAATGCCTCGCACGCACTCTTGCAGCCAACAACTTCGCTTCCACCTTCACCGTCACCATTACCGATCACCTGAAGTTCTTTCGGGCAACCTGTTCGATATCCAAGATTCATTACTAAATCTTAGACCACAGAGAAGAAGAAGAAGAAGAACAATAATCTCTAACAGGTTATGGTTTTTACGATGAAGTAGATCTCACCCATGTTGACATTCGAAACACAGCCTGTGGCATTGCATCCACTGGGAACTCCTCGTGGTGCCGCAACTAGCGGCAGATTGTATCCATCAACGAGGCTGACATCGTAAAAATCTTTCTGGTCTCCAGCTCCAAGGGTTATTTCAAAGAGTGACGCCGGAGGTGTGGCACCCATGCCATCGCATTCAAGCCTTCCCCCACAATCCCCTGTTTGACATGAGCCAACACCCGATGTGTCAAATGTGCAACCCGTTCGACCCCATATGCGACCGGACCATCCTGGAACACTTGGGATTGCAATGCTTTGGCCCGAATCAAGTTGGTCCTCCACCGGCTAGCGTACCAGGCCATATTGTGTGAGGACAGTTATTGATAATGGTAAATGTGCTAGCAAAAGAGTAAGAAAACAAGGAAAAGACAATCAATGAAATGTAAAGTTTCCAAGATCCTATGATCAGCATATCTAGAGTATCCTAGTCGTAGCAATTTCTTGTCCTAAAGAGAATTAGGTAGGGGTAGGTAGGGTGAAGTGGGGGTAAAGTAGAGGGGAATTAGCTTTACATTTCTGCAACATATTTGTACCCTGGAAAAATTCAATGAAAGAATTTCAAAATGTTGAATTCATTCGTTGCTTTGCAAATTTCATCAGCCGCAAGATTTTATAGCTTGGGTTTAGGATTTCTTTTATCTTGGATGGCCTAAATTTGAAGCAATTCCTTGCTTTAAAAAATAATTATCTTGGAATACATTAAGAATACCAGTTGAAAAGGCTACTGCAGATTCCTAAAAAAGGTGCTAATAATAAAGAACTGGGAACCATTTGTCTTCATTCTTCAACAACAATATGTATTGAAATCCATTAATTACTCCCTCAGAAGTATAGAGCAAAGTATCAGTTTCTTCTAAAAAGCTAAATACTCCAATCGCATGCTCGTTACATTGAATTGAACAGGAATTTACACTATTAAGATTAAAAGACGCAGCATTTCTAAGGTCACGGTGATAGAAGAAGTCATCATACATAAAGAAAGATTCTAGTTGCAAGATATCAAGATTTTGAAACCTTTTTGAATAACAAGAGGACGAATAAAGAAACTTAATTTTTATTTATTTTTTTATCTTGGAAGTTTGAATTTCTGCATAAGCTTTCTAGACAAGAGAAGTCACAAGACTCCAACTACTCCATTACTTTCAACCACCAATCGTCTCTCTCCTATTGGTGTCATTTTAATGCAACTTGCCAACTTGATGAATCGTGGTTCTCGACTAACATATTCAATAACATAATTACAGGATATGAACTTCAGCACGTGTTTTGACCTCTTCCTTGAAAACCCTTGACAGAGACATTTTCAGTATAATAAGATCAAACAAATGAGTATGAAAGAGTTGTGTAGATTCACAAATACCATAATCTTCCATTCACAAATGACCAATGCCAGCAGATATTCAGTGTTCACAACAGGACAACATTTCAACAAAGTAACTCCATTTTTTTCTCAACGAGCTGTAAAAACAAATTCATCTGTACCCCAGTATCCTCTAAGATTACTCTTACACTAGTAAGAAGTACCCTTCAAGTTCCATATCCAACAGCAAGCTTCGATAGGTAGACTGAACAGATGAACAACAAATTGCGACTTTGTATATAGTGAGAAGACAATGAGAAGAGCAATAAGAGGTGACTGTGGCTCCAGTCTGTGTATTCCCAGTTAGGGAAAACTCGTTATTTGACAATCTTATGATTTAAAGAGAGAAAGGCTTGTGTAAGAGAATGAGCATAACAAAAGCAGAGCTTTCCAGTCAAGCAGTTTCCAGCAATGAAAGCCTTGCCTTGTGTGAATTATCAAAGCTAATGAGCATGCTTCCAGAGATTCTTCAGCCAACATCTTTAACTAATAACAGATATTCTTCAGCCAGCATCAATGATCTGATCTGAAGCCTACAACGGATGGCAACTCCAATTGTCGCTAAAATCCTTTGTGAGTCTTGCATTGATTGGAATTATTGATTCACCAGCATGCTTCAGCGCTTGTCTTTGTTGCAACTCATTAAAGAATAAACTTTCCTCCTGCATAACGAAGGAAAGACAAATAATTAGATACTTTCCAAAATCCATAAACTAAATATCACTACTAAAAAACATGATAAGCTATATAAGAACTATCCTGTACGACACATGCTTCAACCCCTGCAAAAAAAAATTAACTTTAGGATCCCAAGAAGAGAACATGAAAACGGAAAAAGAGATTTTGCAAGAATCTTTAAGAAACTTCTCTGCCCTGCTCAACCTGCGGCACAAATTAGAAGTTGAAAAATGAACACAAGGGCATTTTTCCACAAATAAGAAAGTGTAAATGCTCCAATCAACTAATTAATTACAATCCACGGAAGAAATTCGATGCTCTTCCTGAATAAAGAATAATACACATTTAACATTTATGTACAAATCAAGTGAAATTACTAAATCAATTAACCACGCCCATAAAGAAAGAGCCTGCAACACCATAATATAAGCTTCCTAATAAACAGAACTAAACGCAACAAATAATCAAAGGATCAAAAGTGACCAAACAAAAATAGTACAGAGCATACATAGTTATAACTGCACAATCTAATAAAGAGGATAACACTAATATAGCCCTATCTAGTTATATTTCAAGATGCAAGGTGCCATATTGTGCAACAGAGCCTCAAAAAAAGTCATGGGAGATAGTATTCCTCGCTTCCTAGAATGAGTTATGTTATTGAAGAGCTAGAACTCAATAAAGTAAAGTTGAATATATAGTGTTCCTACATAAAGGCAGGACAATCCAGTCCGCCATTGAAGTACTCATCAAGTTCGATTAATCCATACTTGTCTTCAAAATAGTAAAAATTCAAAGTGCAAAAAAGTTGAAAAGAAAGGGCAACTAGCAGTTATAATATCTAGTTCATATCCATGACATCTCCAATTTGACTGCAAATGGGATTAACAGAAGAGAACAATCTCTCAAATGGCGAGGGACAATATTGTGCATCCCTTCTGCGCTTAAAAGAACAACTCTCAGAGGGGGAACTCTCGACTTCAAGCTTCCTCCGAATACCTTTCACAGCCTGTTGCTCAGTCGGTGTTAATGGAAAAATCTGCTTGCTCACTCTGCAAAGTGAGCTATGGTTATCATACAAAATTCTTTGGCTACAGTTTTTGTCACAAATGTGTGTCAGGCCGGTTAGTCTGCAGCGGTACATGTTTCCACACACATGTTCATTTTCACATTTCCAATCACACTTGTGAACAGTGTTAGGCCCATCTTGGCCAAGAATACTCGACAGATAAATAACATTTGTAGGCACGGCTACCATAGATTTTCCAAATACCTCCATTGCTTCTATTGATCAGGAATTTTGATCCTTAAAAGAATTCCAGATTCCTGGTACCTTGACCTGGACGTTCTGCAGACCCAACAAGATGAGAACTGTCAAATTCAATGGAGAATCTGAGCCTGCTTGGCTAAGTTTACAAGGTTGACTTAAAGATAAATTTATTTACAAGATCATGGTCGGAAATATGTAAGTGTTTATTTGACAGTACTTAAAATAGGAAAAATAATTGATTGATAGTAATTTTTATGTATTTTAAAGAAAAAGAGCTTTAGCAACTTACGAAACTATACAATTTTCAAATCCAAAATTACTTCAAACATTTGTGCCTGACATAATTTGTGCACTACTCTGATAATGATCATGTGGTCTGATAGTCTGTAAATGAGTTGAAGAAAAAAGAAAAACGTTTTCATCCCCAAAATATCCATAAACAGCAAAATTCACTATTCATTAACCTAAATTCCAAATTTAATTTCTCTCTTGAACTAGATTCTTCGTCCATAGTCAGTAACGGATCAATCTCCTTGTTTTCTTTAATATTTTTTTGTATACATGAAAACAAACCAAAATCAACACAGTCAACGCGAAGACTGAAAACAGATCTGCAGATTTTGTTAAAGCTGAGATCATTAAACCATAGCTTTATCATTGATTAAATTAATCTATTGTGTAAATACTAATGCTTAGCTTATCTACTAAAATTCAATCTATAAAGTACTTAAACAAATCAAACCCTAACAGTCCAGCCTTCATATTTAAATTAAAAACCAAAAAAATGAAAAATATAATTCTTCTCCCGCTCAATTAAACTATTCAACCATCAAAACATGTTGGAGAAACGACACACACATCAATAATCAATTATAAATCAAATGGAAAAAAAAAAACTGTAAACAGGAACGAGAAAACGAGAGACCCAAGAAAGGAATAGGACTTACAGTATCCCAGAGAACCGAGACCCACAAAACACCAGCTCTCTCTCACACACACACACACGCACTTTCTCTGTCTAGACCTCTAGTTTAGTTAATAAAACGAAGAAAATAGGGGCAAAGACAGGGATATTTATAGATAGAAAAAGATAAGGTGATCCGATTATCTTGAACTATACGTTAGAAATTTATTTTTTTATTAATTTCATTTTATAAAGAAAATTTCGGTGAAATGCAGATGAATCTGTCTTGATGTTAGCTTAAAAAGCGGTCGGTGTGAGTTGAATCCGAGTGACTCGGAGACTTCCACTCTTTCTCATGTGTTCACACCCCTATTTTGTCTCTATTTCATTATTAAAAACAAAATTATTTATTATTTCTACAATAATTAACAACATAAATATACACACGAGACAACAACTTGCAAGAACTAAAATTAAAGGCTTGTCTGATACATATATATATTTTTTCCAAGTGAAAAAAATATTTTGAATAGCTTGTGCTGTAAAGTGAGAAAAATTGTTCGTTCAATAAAGTATACGATTGAAAACAATTTTAAAGTTAATTTATTAAAATGATTGTTGTGTAACTATGACCAAGTATAAATATAATACTAAAACTAGATTTAAGTATATTTTGATAAAAATTAATAAAATATGTGATTGAAAATCTAATAATTGTTGTGAGTCTTGTGAAATGTTTGATTAAAATCAATTATTAACTTTATCTTAAATTTTTATCAGTGTGGTAATTATTTTTGGGTTATGTCACTTTGGGAAAAATTGATTGACAGATGGAGTGATATAATTGGCAAGATATATGATTTGATAAAAAAGAAAAAGAAAAAGAATTGACTGTATTTAAAATAATTCAATGATAAAGTATGATGTGGTAATATGTCAACCATTATGTCAATGATTATATTATTGTAGCATGATTGATTTTTTATTTTATTTTTTTACTTTTTTGAAAATCACCTTTTCCTGTTCGTTTTCAAGCAAAATAATAATAATAATAATCATGCTACAGTAATATAATTATTGATATAATACCACATGACATTTTATTGTTAGACTGTTTTAAATACAAACAATTTTTCATCAAATCATATCTTGCCAGTTAACATTATTGCACTTCGTTTGTCAATCACTTTTTGCTGAAGTGGTGTAATCCAAAAATAATTACCACACAAGCACTTAGCCATCGTTTCGGCCCCCATTATTTCGATTTATAATTTTTGGAATATTATTTTTTTTGTAAATGTGTGGTTAAAAAATAATGAAATTTTTTTTATTTACGTATAATATTATTTTATAGAAGATTATTTGATTGAAAATAAGATAAGGAAAATTATAATTTGAAATAATGGGGGGGGGGGCATATGCACTTTTAATAATAAGATTTTATTATTTTTCGATATGGTGCCCCAATTTAATGTAGTTTAAAAAATTGATAAAAATTTAAGATAAAATCAACAATTGATTTTAATTGAACATTTAACAAGACTAACAACAATTATTAGATTTTCAATCACATATTTCATTAATTTTTATCAAAATCTACTTTAAAGTTTTAGCTACAACAAACAATGGTTATATTACATTTATACTTGGTCATAGTTACAAAACAATCATTTTAATAAAGGGTAATTGGCAAAAAAACGTTCATACATTTTAAGTTTATTGTGGAAAATGTTCATACTTTTCATTTTTTGCATTTTCGTCCCAACCTTCCAGCTTTCTTTGTATTGAGCATCATTTTCATTCATTTTCGACAATTTTACCCTCCTATACAAATAAAACAAAAAGAAAGAGAAAAAAAAGTAGAGAATGAATTGCAACCATGGTTTCAAATTTTCAAAAAATTACAAATTGCAACCACACAACTACTTCACACTGGCTTCGCCACAACCTGTTGTGCTTTTTGCCGCTGCGAAACACTCGGCTCTGACATACTCCACCTCAGTATGCCTTGGTTCAATTGCACCTAAAAGGAAAGCCTCTCCTATCGATACAATAACTTACTCTGTTAATCCACAAATCTTTTCAAGATCACACCTATATATGTATAGTGGTTTCAAACTCAAATTCTAAGTTCAGCATTTGGGCCTTTTATTGTTCATCCATATTCATTGAAGCTTTGGGTGAGACTATTTATTGATTTCCAAGGTAGATTTGAGCTCCTTTAGGTTTCTAGTTCATTTGTTTGGCTAGATTTTAGCTCCATCTTTGGAGTTTCTTATTTGGCCAGCAGCTTGGTTTTCCTTATTGGAGTTTCATAAGTTCAAATCTGTTGGGATTTCTTTGGTTCAGTTCGACCAAAACATAGTAGGTCCCTGTTCTTCCATTGCAATTTTCATCCAGGTTCAAGGCTGATTTTGGGTGTTGTCTTTAATTTGAACTCAACTTGGTGGTGTTAACGTTCCTTCATTGAAGTTTGTTCTTCGTTTGGTGGTTTTGTCCATTGTTGGTGATTTTCTTATTGCTGATTTTGTAGAGAGTTAAAACAGGTTTATAACTCTTTTGTAATATTTTAAAATTTTGGGATCATGGTTGCAATTAGTTCTCAATTTTTCTTTTCTTTTTGTTTTAGTTGTATAGAAGAGTAAAATTGTCAAAAAGGGATAAAAAGGACGTTTAGCGCAAATAAAACTGGAAGGTGGGGGTGAAAATACTAAAAAAATCTAAGGGATAGCTCAATGATCAGATCTTGGGTTTGCTCCCAACAATCACCAATTTGAGTCCCCTCAGAGCCATTGAGGTGAATACCCCGCTGCAAATTTTAAGACCCTATGAGATTAATCGAGGTACGCGTAAGCTGGTCTGAACACTCACGGTCATAAAAAAATACCAAAAAATGAAAGGTAAGGATGATTTTCACAATAAACTTAAAAGGTATGAACATTTTGTGTCAATTATGTTTTAATAAACTAAATTTAATTTTTATTTTTTTATTATTTTTTTCCCAAAAGTCATTTTCAATCGTACACTTTTGAATGAACAAATTTTCTCACTTTACAGCAATAGCTATTCAAAATATTTTTTCGCTTGAAAAAAAAATATATATCAGAAAAGCTTTTAATTTTAGCTGTTGCAAGTTGTTGTCTCGTGTAAAAAAACCCTGTATATTTATGTTGTTAATTATTGTAGAAATAATAAATAGTTTTGTTTTTAATAATGAAATAGAGACAAAATAGGGGTAGGAACACATGAGAAAGAGTGCAAGTCTCCGAGTCACCTGGATTCAACTCACACCGACCGCCTTTTAAGCTAAAATCATGAGAAATTCATTTGCGTTTAATCGAAATTTCTGTTTGGTGAAGATTAAAATTAGATTTTTTAGTAGATTGTGATAGAAATTTTTGAAATGTGGGATTAAAAAACTATTGAACTATACAAATTGTGATTAATATTAATTATTTGATTTTAATTTAAATAAAAATCGTATTTTAATCAAAACCAAACAAGTTCTTAAATTAAATTAATAAAAAAATAAGTTTCTAACGTACAATACAAGATAATTGGATCACCTCACATTTTTCTATCTATAAATATCCCAGTCTTTGCCCCCGTTTTCTTCGTTTTATTAACTAAACTAGAAGTCTAGCCAGAGAAAGTGCGTGTGTGTGAGAGAGCTGGCGTTTGGTGGGTCTCGATTTTCCGAGATGCTGTAAGTTCTTTTCCTTTCTTGGTTCTCTCGTTCCTTATACAGGTTTGCTTTTTTTTTTTTTTTCCATTTAATTTATAATTGATTATTGATGTGTGCGTTGTTTCTCCAACATGTTTTGATGGTTGAATAGTTTAATTAAAAGGAAGCAGAG